AATGTTATTGAATCCAGTCAAAATCCCACTAAGGACCCAGTAATGAAAAGGATGCTAAAACATAAAAATTCAAAAATTGTCAAGAGAATCTTGAACAAGAGCAATAATGGACATTTTGCTGTACCACGTATTTTAAAAAGATACTATGAAGTGACTGCACTAAAAATATTACAGTATGTCCTATAGGTAATAGATAGTACTTTACAGCCTTGCAGACCTTTCTTTTTATGAACAGGGTGAGTATGGATGAGTCAAATCTGTGAGGTCCCTCAGCAAGATAAGATCCCACTGAGCTTGGTCCCCCGAGCAATTCCGTTTTTCCCCTCTCCACTTAGTCAGTGAGTCTGACAAAATACTTAAAGCAAACACCACACCGTTGCCTGCTTTTGAGAGAGAATACAGAAGATCTTGTTACAGCTCTCAGAGAGTTTGAAGTCCGCTGAGAGAGCCTGGCAGTTACAGTGCTACAGCACATCCGCCTGTGGGGTTCTTGCCTCTTCCACTTCTGTGGGCGTACCTGAGCCCACAGCCTAACAGGTTATATGTTTATGGTCCCTTGGTCAGTGCCAGCAGCATTTTCCCAAAGAGCCAAGCTAATGAAAGTCACAGAGAAGTTAATGTCCTGGTAGCAGACAATCAGAATGTGGATTATATTTCACTTAGAACAATAGGTTTTCAAACTTACACTCTTAAATATTATAGTATACCAAAATAAATTTTATTTTTATATGCTAGAAATCAACAATCTGAAAATGAAATTAAGAAAATTCTATTTACAACACCATTGAAAAGAAAAAATTACTTGGGAATAAGTTTAACAAAAGCAGTATAAGACTTGTGCACTGGAAACTACAGAGCATGAAATAAATAAATGAAAAACCAAGTTAATAGAAAAACAGCTTATTTTCATGGGTTGGAAAATTTAAGATGATTAAGATGGCAAGGACTTTCTGCTGGTCCAGTGGCTCAGATTGCACTCTGCCAACGCAAGGGCCCTGCGTTTGGTTCCTGGTCAGGGAACTAGATCCCACATGCCACAACTAAAGATCCAGCACAGCCAAATAAATAAACATATTTACTATATATATATATATATTTACTATATATATTTACTATATATATACTATATATATTTAGTATATATATACTATATAGTATAGTATATAGTATAATATATATACTATATGTATATAGTATAATATATAATACTATATATATAATATATATATAATATATATATATATTATATATATTATATATATATTATATATATATATATTATATATATATGGCAGTACTTCTCAAGCTGATCTGCAGATTCAATGCAATCTCTATGAAAATGACAATTGATTTTTCCGCAGGAATTGTCCGTCTGGTCCTAAAATTCATGTTGAAATACAAAGGGCCCAGAATAGCCAAAATAATCTTCCAAAAAAACAACAAATTTGGAAGATTCAGACCCATTTCAAAACTCATTACAAAGCTGCAGTAATCCCAGGACTATGTAGTAGATATGTGAAGATAGATACAGAGATTAGATAGAGAACAGAGTCCAGAAATAAACCTAGACATTTATAGTCAATTAGAATGATGTGGTCAAATTAAATACAGGATCCTCAGTTAAATTTAAACAACAAATAATTTTTTTAGTAGGTCCTGAACAATGTTTGGAACATACTTATACTAAAAAAATTGTTCATAGTTTATCTGAAATTCAAATTTAACTAGACATCCTGTGTTTTTATTTGCTAAATTTGGCAACCCTGAATAGGGAGGCAGGACAGACAAATTTTGCCCACATTGTTATATGCCAAAGGCTCTGGGAAGGGGCTGGTGGGAGTTCTAGGTATTTACTTAAATTTCTGCTAAAGGAATTCTATTTTCTTTACAATAATAACCTTTAAAAGAAAAATATTGCGAAGTGGTAAAATGCATTGTACATCTCATTTAAAAAAAAACCTTTGGCTTTTTTTTTTTATGGTGTAGAACCATAATGAAAATTATTAAAATAGAGAATGAAACAGAATGTAACTGGATTTACCATAATCGTTGCAATAACTAGAGAATGTTCCCCATTTCCCCATAAACAACGTTTTACTCTATCAGGCTCTTCTCCCCCTGTGCCCCCCACCCCAGCATACTGTGACTGGTCTGAAAATGTACGCTGGGATCTTGAGTTGGCGTTTCCTTTTAGTCCCTTCCGAGGTCACTCTGTGCAAAGTTTACAGTTCTTTCCTTGATGCCATTGTGCCTAAAGTGTTAAACCCCGTTAGCAGTCACTGCACAGATTTCCTCAATGAGACCCTTGTACGCCTGACAATGTGACTATTTGTTTGAAAGTCAGTACCACTGACATTTGTGCTACTCAACGCTGTGTTACCAGTACTTTCTTTATGTCACTGTTTCTCTTCAGTAACTAAGAAAAGCAAAACAAAGTACAAATAACTGCTTATTCAGAAAGAAATCTCAGATTGTTCCTTAAACCTGCGCCAGGCAGCACATACAGACTTTTGAGTGATCTGGAAAATATGAAAAGCCCTTGGCTGGGAGACAAAACCCAAACTGATCTGCAGTGATGGCAAAAGCAGAAATAGGAGCTCAATAATAAAAATAAATTTCTGTACAACTGCTCGTGGCTTCAGGAGGGAGGAGGAGTTCTCAGAAGTTCAACTATGATCTGATGTTTGAAAGGAGGCTGCATGGGAGGAAGGGAGGGAGAGAGACCAGGCTTTGTTTCAGGGCTGGTCCCTCAATTGTTGGTTGATTGATTGAAAAAGGCAAATGGGGCTGCAAATGTCTCCCTGCCAAGGGTTTTATTCTGCCTCAGCCCTCCCTGGGTGCCTGGAGTGTGGACTCTCTGTGGCCCTCACCTGCTGCTTTGTTCCAACAAAGCCGGCGTCTTGCAGCCGCTGCCACTCACTCCACTGAGCCGTTGTCCCGGCTGTCCTGAGTGTGTAGGCCCTGCCACCCCCATCTGCCCAGCCACCTGCCTCCTTTAAATATCTTCCTGCAACCCCATGGCTTCTGGAAGCTCTCTGGAATCGTTGCCACCGACTTGTCTTTAACCGCCGACAGAATCCTCTCCCAGAGCCACTCTGAAAACGATTGTGTCTCATGTCTGTTGTGTGCATGAGGCTGAAGCACATGTACTCGGAGGCAGGCAGGCTAGGGTTCATTAACTGATTTTGTCTCTCACCGGCTCTGTGACCTCCAGCGACAACAGTCATGATGATACCTAGACAGCTAGTGAGCTGTGTGCCAAGCAAGTGCTCAGCATGTCACGTGCTCCCTTTTATTTTCTCGCCATGTGAAAGTTACGAGTGGCACTCGGGATGAAGAAGCCGCCTGCCAATGCAGAAGATGTAAGAAACGCAGGTTCGGTCCCTGGGTTGGGAAGATCCCCTGAAGGAAAGCATGGTGATCCACTCCAATATTCTTGCCTGGAGAATCTCATGGACAGAGGAGCCTGGTGGGCTACCGTCCATAGGGTTGCAAAGAGTCAGACTTGACTGAAGAGACTTGGCATGCATTCATTCTCCTTGTTTTACAGACCAGAAAGCTGACTGAGAAGTAAAAGGAACTTGATCAAGGTCAAATAAAACCCTCATGGTGGAGCTGGGTTTGGAATTCAAAGGGTCAAGCTCTTACTGGGGGACTCAGATATCAGGAGAGATACCTTTATTATTTCATCTTCTCAACAGCCCTATGAAGTTTGTATTATCCACATTATAGTGATGGGCTTCTTAGTTACTCAGTTGTGTCCAACTCTTTGCAACCCCATGGACTGTAGCCCACCAGGCTTCTCTGTCCATGGGATTTCCCAGCAAGAATACTGGAGTGGGCTGCCATGTCCTCCTCCAGGGGATCTTCCCAATCCAGGGATTGAACCCAGGTCTCCCACATTGCAGGCGGATTCTTTATCATTTGAGCCACCAAGGAAGCCCAAGATTACTGGAGTGGGTAGCCTATCCCTTCTCCAGGGGGAATTTCCCAACCCAGGAATTGAACTAGGGTCTCCTGCATTGCAGGCAGATTCTTACCAGCTGAGCTATCAGGGGAAACCCAGAGATGGGGCTACTAAGGGCCAAAAGGTTTCAATGACCCATCCATGATCAGGCCTCTAGGAAGCAGGCAACGCTTCCAAGTAGGAGGCTTACACCTGCAATGGGGGGAAAAAAGTGTGCACTAATGAATTTGCAAAATGCAGGGTCAAATCTAACTAAACAGTGGTTTTTTTTGTTTTTTTTTTTTTGCCTTCTAAGTTTTAAATTATTTAACCATGGGGCTTCCTAGAGTCTTGAACAGTACACAAAATGTGCACCATAAGTCTCCAAAATAGGATTTCATAGGCAGCCTTTTCAAATGTATTGAACCACAAAGCTTTTGTTGAGATACACCTATTAAAGTTTTTTTCTGTGTGTGTGGTAATGCTTCCCTGAATACAAGTTAGGAAGACGCTACACTATTTAAGTGATAACACCTGCAAGATAAGGAAGTCGCTAGAGACACATTGGTTGTTGCTATTCAGAAGGTAGTAACAAACCACTCCGGGTGCTTCCAGCATGAGTGAGCTATTGAGCCTGCCAGGGCGGGCCAGCTGCGCTTGGGTCTCAAGAGCCTGACCCCAGATGTTGTTTGCTTTATTCATTCATTTAACTGGTATTTGTTTTTTGGTTTTGTTTTGTTTTTAATATGTTGCTGATCTGTTGTTTGTTGTTGTTGCTGTTTCACCTGAGCTGTGTGGCTTTCTGGGTTTTTCCCATTGGATTTTTCCCACTGGGTTCTAATTTGGGATTAAGCATTTCACAAGATAGCCTCTTGTTAAAATTCAATAAAATTAAACTCAGGGCAGAGTTTAGAGTCAGCACCAGTCTTAGTGTGAGTTGGCATTTAGCACTTAAGGCATTTTGTGATAATAGCTACCATTTATTCAGTGTTTTATTATGTACCAGGTTTTACATGGGTTGTTTCATTTAATCTTCCTTATATCCTTGGAGTAGGTCCTATTGTAGAAGCCTCCAAGATGGTCCTCCATGGTCCCCTCCCACAATGAGTTAGAGATGCCTTGAATGACCAATAGAATACGTCAGAGGTGGTGGGATGTGACTTCTAAGTCATCAAGGCATAATATCACTGCAACTTCCATCTCAGTCTCTTGGATTGCTTGCTGTGGATGAAGCCAGCTGCTGTTTTGTGAAGACATTCAAGCAACATTGTGGAGAGGCCCATATGGAGAGGAACCAGCTTGCCAGCTACATGAGTGAGCCTTTTTGAAAATGTATTCTCCATCCCCAATGAGACTTTTAGATGACTGCAGAACCCGGCTGACATCTGACTGTAACCTCATGAGAGACCCTTGAGCTACTCGCAAATTTCTGACCCATAGGGAAGGCTATTGTTGTTTGAGGCAACTAAGTTTCAGGGTGATTTTCCACAAGCAAGAAATAACTAATCACAGGTACTAGTACTAGCCCCCATTTTTCAATTGCAGGAATGGAAAGTATGAGACATTAAGAAACTTACTGAAGGGACTTACTTAGGTAACTTACTCACAGGACTTGTTCAAGGTCACAGCCAGAGTTAAGGTAGCTGAGCAGGATGCAGCAAAGGACTCTTTCCCTCACACCCCAGAATACTAAATACTGCCCGGGAAGTCTGCTACAGAATCCAGATTTCTAGTTCTAGGCTCATTTATTCAGTGCAGTGATGTGATAACACAGAACATTTTGGACTCAGTCCATTTATACCTCTCATGAACTTTAAGGTCCTTAGAGAGTAATACTATTTACCTGGTTGTGGATGAAATAATTTACTATATTAAATGTTCAAGCAGAATCTAGGCACTGGATATTTTAAGTTTCCTTTCCTTCCAATTCCTCCTTTAACATTAGACTTCACTTCGGTGGTGAGGAAAAAAGAAGGTTAGCCCAGCCAACAATCTGTCATTCCCACCCTACAGGGAATTAGCTCATCCAGATGCAGTCCTAACTGGCAGGAGACTGAGGAGGCAGCCTTTTTGCTTGGAGAGCAAAGGACAGGAAGACATAATTTTTGAGTATGGTTTACTTTGGGAGCAGGCAGGTTTGGATGGGTGCCCCAGGAGGCTTTTGGAATAGCTAGAGGGCATCAGAAGAACCCAGAGAAGCCGCTAAGTAGGAGGGAGCTTTTTATCACAAACTGACTTAAGGCCTGCCCCACACAAGTCACGTTAACAAAGACAGTTGTTGTGCAAGTGTCACCTGGAGTATCGGCTGCTTCAGTTTCAGCCAGGAGAGACTAGGAAAAGAACGTAGTGATTCAGTCTTCAAAGTTAGTCTTTCTTTTGTGTTCTTTGGGTTTTTTTTTTTTTTAAGTCCTTGGCCCCAGGTATAAATATATTCAGAGATGCACAAAAACCAAAATTAAGTACCTTGGTTTAGGTCACAGAGTTTGGTCTAGAACCCCCCTAAAACCCATGTTGTAATCACTATGTTTAATCAATTCACTTTGGGTTGAAAGGCACACATTGCTTCTTCTAAGAAGCCTCTCCTCCATAATGCTGCTAAAGTTTACTTATTTTGAGAGATTTTAGCAATAATATGTAGTCTGGCATACTCTGTCAATAAACACTTGTTAAGACAAGTCTTTTGAACGCCTCTTTTTGCCAGGCACTCTATGGCCTGCGAGGGATTTGGCAATGAACAAAACGTAGCCCCTCACGCTTTCATGAAGCTTACACTTAGAGGTGGGTGGCATGGTAGGGTAGATGATAAATTATGTAATCAGCTAAAAGGTGATAGAGAAAAGTAAAACAGGGGAAAGAAACAGAAACAGGGTTTGTGGAGTACAATTTATGTAGAGATTGGTTAGGGAAGTTCTTATTGAAAAGGTGACATTTGGGTAAGACTCGAAGGAGGTGAGGAAGTGAGCCATGTGTCTATCAGGGGAAGAGCTTACCACTAATTTATCTATTACTTGGGACTTGCTCTTGGGTTCCTTCATGTTTATAATTTTCTTTTTTCTTTTCTCCCCTAGTAAATTCTCAGGAGCATGTATTTCTTTTTTTTTTTTTTTCATTTGATTCATCATTTTAAGGAGCATGTATTTCATCTTCTGCTTCCTTGGGTCTGATATAAGTGCCTTCTACAGAATGTTATTTGTACCGCAGGCTTTTTTTTGTACCACAGGCTCTTAATAAATGCTTGTTGAATATTTTGTTTAAAGTCATTTTCTCACTATTGCCCTTTTTAGGCAAGAAATGAAGGGAAAACTAGAGTAGTTCAGTACTCTGTCCAATAGTCTAAATTACTTAGAATGTCCAAACCAACATTTAACTGCTCTATCCAACATTCTGGGTTGGTATCCTTTGCCTTCCATAAACATTACATCTAAAAAGATTTGCAAAAGTCTTGGCTTCTCCTAAATTCAAAACAGGAAGCCCCTATAATCTCTAAGCTGTCTTTATTCACCTCCAAACCCCAAACTGGAATCAACCATTACTATTTTGTAATTACAATCTCTTTGTAAAATGAGCTCTGACATTTTAAAAAAATGATTTCCTGCTTAAGCTAGAGACATCCTGTTATTCTTAATAATATTCTATGCCATCTAAATATTAATGTACCTTGAATTCATAAGGACAGAACCATACATAGCTGGTAACTCATGTGTTTCTCTTTGATTTTTGCAAAAAGAGACACTTCACGGAAACACTTTCCAATTTCTTTTTGAACAAGATTCTCAGTTTTCGTGTCGGTGAGACACTGACTTTGTTTGAGTCAGTGCTTTCCACAGAAGTACATAACCCGTGCTTGATTTTGTTTTGAAAAGACAAATTGAAAACGCAAAGGAATTATAACAATGTTGAAGATCCTAATGACGCCAACAATAATAGTGTTGGGGAAAATTTAACAGATCAAAGTCAGAAGACAGAGTCAGCAGCTGAGCAGTGAGCTAACATTGCACATAGGAGATGGAGACAAGGTGACGTCTTAATGAAGCTGAAGGGGTTGGGGAGTGAAAGGGGATCATTCTCTAAAGTATAACTGATAAAAACCCAGAAGACAAACTCACTGTAGGAGACACATCAAATAGTAGGTAATAAGCAAGTCAAATGTGTCAAGAAGAGCTTGCTGCTTTGACACCTATGGTCATGTACACGCCTCTAAGGAAGACTATTAGGATAACAGGGATGTAATCACTCAGGTTTTTTTTTCCCAGAATATCAATTTCTAGCACCATATATTCTCTCCCAGTCAGCCCTCAAATGTATTCAGTAATGCTTTACTCACCATCTGGGGAAATAAACATCCAATCAAGCACAACTATCCCGAATCTTAATCATTTCAGGATGTGAGATATAGAAAAAAAGGACTGTTCTTAATTCTTTCTACAGTGCATATGATACCACTTGCACATCTGGAGAGGGAAAGACAGCTGCTCACTCTGTATGTGAAACCTTGGGCAAATTATTTACCATTCTTGACTTCACTTCCTTTAACTATAAGACAGGGATAAGAATACAAAACTTAGATGGATGGTGCTTAGAAACATGAAAACAATAGCCAACTTATACCAAGTTCCAGCACATTTTTAAACCCTTTATGTATGAATGTATTTAATCCTAATAACAATATGACATAAGTATCATGATTTACAGATGGGGGAACCAAGCCCAGAGAGATCCAGGCCATTTCAGATTCAACCATGTACTCAACTGCCACTCTGAAATATTTCTCTAATGATGGATGTAAAGCACACAGTCAAACAAAATATTATTTTTGTTATAGGGAGAAGATACAATATTTCTCACTTAAGTAGATTCAGTTACAAAGTGATTGCTTCCCTGAGACTCCCAGACATATTCAGGTGAGAAGAAAATCAGAACAGATAAAAACAGACACTTTAAGAATAATGGGATTAGGCTTCTATGGTGGCTCAGTGGTAAAGAATTTGCCTGCCAGTGCAAGGGACACAGGTTCAATCCCTGGTCCAGGAAGATTCCATAACTACTGACCCTGTGCTCTAGAGCCCAGGAGCTGCAACTAATGAACCCATGTGCCACAACTCCAGAAGTCTACATACCCAGGAGCTCATGCTCCGCAACAAGAGAAGCCACTACAACAAGAAGGCTGTGCACCTCAACTAGAGAGGTGCCCTGCTCACGGCAGCTAGAGAAAAGTCCACGCAGCAATGAAGACCCAGCACAGCCAGAATAAATAAATAAAATTATTTTTAAAAAATGGGATTCAGATACATTTCCTTTTGGACCACATGTCTTAGATTTATAAGTGGGCTGAACTGATGGTGATCTCAGTCAAAAAAAGGGGTTCCTTTAAATGAAAATAGCAGTTCAAGCTAATTGCTTGACTAAATCAATTGTTTTATTTTAAAATCATCAACCTGTCAGTTCAGTGAGGCTCCAGCTTTATTCCTATGGTTTTGTGATTCTTTGGAGGTATGAAATGGAGTTAAACATTGATCTTGTTCCTTCAATCAATAAATCTGTAAACGGATCACATCACTGAAATGACCAATTCTGCCACCATTCTTGTGTTCAGAATCTATCACTTGTGCTGATATTTATAAAGTCCACTTACACATTTCTTTGTGGACATTGTCAGCAAACCCAGGGGAGGAATATATTCTTGCCATGATCTCAGGGGTGAGGTGATAAAAATAACAGCTAAGTGGAGCGCTTTCCTCAATGTGTCAAAATATATCAGTGAAGATATTTGATGAGACTTCATTACAAGGTTCAGAATGCAAAAGCTATGCTTGTCATTTTTATTTTATTATGAATATATTTTGTGGCCCATTTTGATATTAGGACAAAAGTGGGAAGCTAATGACTATTTGAAGAAAACAATAGAATAGTAATGAACTTATTTGCAAGGAGGTAAAAATAAAACATTGGTTGTATCAGAAATAAAAATCATCAAGAGAAACAAAAGAGTCTTTACAACAGACCAATTATGTGTGAGCAGTAGGTCTAGTGGTTAGAAGAATTTATCTGAGCGAATCTTTCAGATTTAAACACTGACTGCCACTTACTTGCTGTATACCACATACGTGTTAGA